TGACATTGGCCAATCAGCAAGATGCAAAAATAAACGTAACAATGCCCCCTTTCGCATCCGCTCATACACATTTCTCACAGATTTTCGGGCGTGGTCGTGAACATTACCTCATTTCCGCGTTTTTGAATTATATTCGTTAGTTTTAGTTGGTTTTCCGGAAATTTAAAAATAAATCAAATAAGTAAATGATCACTTTTGTCTTCCTAGGAGTTTCAGTTTAATTACAGTAATCAAAAATGGTATAGAAATAGCTGTGATAGACTAGTAGGCTAAAATTCTTTACCGAACTTTTAAAAAACAAATTGTTGAATGGTATGAATTAGAATGATAGTTTGAAAAATACCCCATTTTACAAGCAACAACTCGCGAAACCACTCTTAGAATGAGCACCGAAAATTTTTAAATGGTAAAGTATGAGAAGAATTTTCTTGGGTCAAAGGTCGGGGAAAGGTCCATTAAGTGAAGCGTCCCGGGCCAGATTATTTTACTCTGGCCGTATTTTGCTAACCACTGGGATACGCAAACTGCCGTACCTTATTGCGAAGACGAGTCCAGCAAACCTTTCGCATGTAATAATCGCCCACGTGATTCAAATTTACGAAAGCACGCAGAGTACAGTAATCAAGTGCATCAATGCGCCAAACAGAAACAGCTTTCGCGAAATCGCACACTTTTTCGCCCTCATCTGTATCGTTTTCGCCCACCGGGGGGCGGTATTGCCCACTTTGGGAATTACTGCTCTATACGAAGAAACGAGCGACATCGAAGCATCTCAGCTTTCCCGTGGGATACATGCGATTGTCAAAGTTTTTTTTTGAATAGTATTGATGTTGATATATTCGTTGAGCCAAATGACTAAATGGCAATAAAAATACTATTATTTTTGTAATATACAATATTGGGAATATTTGTACAAAGCCCCCCCCCCCCCCCTAATAATGCAAAAATGTGAGTTTTGAGAAAAACAGCCCCGCTTTAAAATAACAAATCAGTAATTATCTAGTTGGGGTTCTGATTAGATATGATTAAAATTAGCATTTCCACCACAATATGCATTCTTAAACTCAACCCAAACCGTAATTAGATAATTACTAATTTTTCTTATTTTGACCGTGGGGGGGGGGGGGGGGGTGGCACTGGCCTTGTACAAAAAAATCCAGATGTTATATTCCCAGTGAACAGCTGCACTCCGTATACCATTCGCTGCTAATCGACCTCCCATGCGTTCGCAGTGTTTCCCGGCAGTTTGATAGTCTGACGGTACTTTGACCAATATGTACGAAAATAGAAAATCGGGAACGCGATACCAATCTTCCGCTACGAGTTGTAAGTCTTAAGCTGAAAAGAAATGAGTACAAATATAAAAGTGCTTGATAATTGCTTACGCTTTGAAAATTACATAAGAGCTATGCTCGAACATAGAGACAGGAAGCGCATAAATGAAAGTAATAGTTTTTTCGTCAAAATTACAATCTTTAACTACCGAAAATGTTAAAGCAATGGGTCCAGTAATTACAGGGATAAGCGATTTTTTCATAAAGATAAGAAGAAAAATACCAAGAAAATAACAACATATTAACAAAACGATCCATAGGTCTACAGTATTGACTTTTAGATCTAAACAGCGATTAAAAATCAATAATTCTTGCCCGCTTACAACATGTGAGGCACAATTAAGGCCCTATGTGTACAAGTTTAGGGTTAGTTTTTTTTTTCAATTTTCCTTATTTAAGTTCTATTACGAGTTCGGGGTCCAGCCAAGTGACTCCCGTAGTATTTGTACCTGAAATTATGGCCTAAACATAACCTGGTACACATACTACGTTCCGGTGTCCGCCATCTTGGTTCAAATACTACAGGAGTACCTTAAAGAATGATATGGATTTGTGCTAGTCACCTTTTTGTTCGAGGTATTGAACTTGACGTGCCAACTCATTATATTGTGAGCATTTACACGATGTTCCGCTTTCTCCTTTAGCTCCCTAAAGTCCTGTGGCGCCATTTTGTCCTGGTCGTCCGATATCACCTTTTGCACCTTCTGGGCCTTTCTTGCCTGGCCGACATGTTGTTTGACATTGAGAATCATTTGGAACTGAAGAATAATTATTTTAGTTTACAAAATTCTTACACGTGAGTGTTGCATTTAGCAGAGTTGTATTTGTATTTCTAATGTGTCGCTTATATAGTCTTTCTGATATCATGCAATTATGATTTTAACTATTTAATACAAGTCAGCAATTGTTTATTAAAAAATCAATAATTTTACCATTCAGTGTTGTTTCTCGAGCTTTTTCCACAATTAAAGATGCCATGTCCCAGGTTTCTAAAACTGTAACAAGAATCCCTTAAATCACGAGAAGCTGAAAATGCAAATAGTAATAATTGAATATCGCAATAAATATAAAAGCATTACTTTGTACTCAAAACTCGCGATAAAACTTGTGATACAATCTGGTATTCAGATCTAACTTCTTTTTAATTTGCTTGGTTTAGAACATGGATGTGCGACATTTTTATCGACGGCCCAACCAACTTCAGACATATCGCCGGGCTAAACAAAAAATTAAGCGAGAAAGGCAAGAAATGTTATGCGACTATCGCTCAGCCCTAAAGTAATAAGTAATAAATACACCGGGCAAAACGGCGAAATATTTAACGCAGCGACAAAAAGAAGAACATTATGTGTTTATATCCATGTAAGCATGGTTTTCAACATAAACTGTCGGATTAGGGTATTATTCTTGATGGATAAATATTTGAGTGTTGACTAGAGCCGCACTAAATGGGTCGGCGAGCCGCCTGTTGCACATCCCTGGTTCAGAACTAGCAACATTGGCTTAGAATGAGACGAAAATCTATGCTGATATTATATATTTTAAATCAACGTTAAATTATTGCAAAGATAGGAATAGAATCAAGAAACAGATATATTTTTCTAAACTCACACGACGTTAGCGAGCACTTTTTTAATTTTTCTCTCTCAATTTCTTCCAGTTTCTGTTCCAAAGCTTTGATTCAGATATCGTATTGATCGATTTTTGTTGAAGTTACATTTTCAATTGCACTAGATAGGCTTCCGTCGTTAACAGAATTTCTCGAGCCAGGTTCGATCTCTGGACTCGTTGTGACAAAGCTGATATCGCTTCGAAGTTCTTGAGCGCAACATTCAACTACGCCCCAGGAACGTAATAATGAAGGATGCTAACAAACTCATTTTGTAGTGAAACCAGCACAAGAGTATTAATTTACGATAATGAAAGTATAACTAAGGTACAAACGCATTTTATATAGCGCTTCATTTTTTTTGAAAACGAATGCCTTTTTTGTCAATTGCCGGGCGGCGCAATGCCTATTCAAGTTTTCCCCTATATTGAATCGATACTTATTTTATATTCCTGCTTTATAATTTAATGTGACATACTCGTGAGCCAAGTGAGTGTATGTGTGTGTGTGTGTTTTTTGCGGGGGGGAAAGCTGCATTTTTACCGAAAAAGTCGCTGATAAGCGTGACGTGTTATTTAGCCCCTCACAACGGTATTTATTCTCTCTATGTATCTTGTTCCATTAGGGCGACGATACTTGATTTCAACTAGGAGTCCAGTAAGAGAAAACGAGTTATTACTTTATCAACGGCGACAAGATGCTGAAGAAATATCATCGTACCTTATCAAACGCGTCGCAGAGAAGAAAGAATACATTTGCTCCGTTTCAATCAAACCTTACATATAAGTTAGTAAGAATTCATATCTAATTCTATCTGCGACTGTCGTTAAATGGGAACGACTTACTGTCAACGATAAAAAGATAATAAATCCCTTATTATCGTGTTGGGATTTTGCGTGGGCGTATCGGTTCTCGCATTTTCCCCGACGTCGCACTCTTGGAGGTCATATTGAGAAAGTAGGCCAAACATTACCTTTCCCGTGTACTATTTATGTACACTAACTAGTAATTACTGGCACTCAGAAAGATACAGTTACGGCAAAATACATGTACATACATGTTTAGATATATGTACGACGTAAACAGGATGCGGAAAGTCACCTACAGAATAGACCGATTGATTTCTTCCGAAATATAATTCGGTACTCTTGAAGTGTGCGCACCAAGATGCGACACAACCTGCACCCTAACCTGGTAAAACCTGGTACACAACCTGAGTGGTTTCTTTATCACTATCGGAGTTAACCAAATATCTTCTGATTGTAACAACTCTTTTTGCGACTTTAATTTAAGGTAAAATGTCCGTGCCTGCAAGTTTTATATTGCAAATTAAGCAAACACTGCTACAACTTGAGCATTGGGCAAATAGGAACATCAATCACTGCATCGAGATTATCCGACGCCCAAGTCTGTCATCTACTCTCGATTTCATCAAAGTCCGAGATTGTTTCCGGATGCGTAATGCGAGTTTGTTTGTGCACGACTTAAGCGAGGTTTTTATGAGTGGTATAGACTGCCATACCTCGATTTGATTTTGTTCACCCGAGGCTTGCCTGGGTTTGATTTAACCATACCTGATTGAAGTATAATAGGCTGTGCTACGTATTCATACATAGCATGGCGAAATGTTGGTTGAGAATTTGCTGACCTGCTGAGATACTGCACATAAGATTGCACTAGTGAATCAAATTAGAAGAAACATACTTCTTTGAGATGATTGTTTGATACTTTCGTTTAAATTAAATAAATACAAAGCAAATGATTTATTCGTATTCATTTTCCATAATAACCTAGCATATACACGTATATACAATGCAAAATCTTTTAAACCAAATAACATATTAATACAGAATAAATATTAGAGACAGAGTCTTGTGAGTAGGATTGTAAGTTTCAGAATTTCGAATCGAAGCGATTCGAATCAATATCAATTCGAATCGATTCGGAGCAATTTAGAAAAAAGGGCTTGATTCTTTTCAATTTTTTTTTATATAACAAAGGCAAATGCACGACAAAGCGGCGCTGCTTTGAAATCGACCAAAAGCGTTTTAATGTAACAAAAAAAATATTTTAGCCGTAATATATTTGGTAGTTGATACATGAACGCATTGTGTTTTTCTAGTAACTTTCTTCATTCTTCAAGCTCATTATTGTTATTTTATCAAAATTTATAGGATATTTTATCCAAATTTGAAGATAGTTAACGATGATACAATGATATACTAAATAGAATCAGATGCGGAAATATTCGAATCGGAACTTTGTGATTTGAAATTCGATTCAAAAAAAAAATATTTGAAACTCACAACCCTACTTGTGAGTTTATAAAGTCCTTTATCAACAATAACAATATTTTACTGCAAGAAAACACAAACCAAGGATAACTGTACAGCCGACAGGCTAAAGTTTTTTAGCCCACTTGCTATAGCCGCCATAACATAAGTATGCGCCATTTTTCATTAGCTATAGCCGTCATGGCAGTCGATTTATAACAAGATATACAAATACTATAGATGTTCCAGGCTAATGATAATAATTTTCTGAAAGAAATCAAGGCTTAAAAAAGCGGCCCGAACAGAGCAACTTGAATTTTATTTCATGTATTAACCATAAAATTGACCTAAAAATTATTCGATAAAAATTGGCGAAGGTGCGAAATTCAAACGGCGCCATTCTCAGAAAACTCAAGATCAAGATCGATTCAATTTTTTGAATAATAATTAAATTAATTATAAGTAAAACAGAAGGGATCTTTTAATTATTTCTCACAAAGGTAGAATGTTTGATAACTACAAGTGAGATCTGCTAATCTGTGCTGTAGGGTACTCCACATACACCCACATCTTTCATTTGGACCATTTGGTTCTCCTTCACTCCATGGTGTATTAGAAGAAGTTGATGAAACTCCGTCAGACCATTTCCAGTAGTTTTGTTTCTCGAGGTCGTCAAGTCCTATCCAGATCGAAGTTCCTGTTCTTCTGATGAACGTATCGAGAAGATCGCTAAAAATAATATTATTTTAAACACATTAAAGATGAATTGGGACCTACAATGTTATGATTTGAAATTTACAAATAATTAGTTTAGTGTATTTTTTCTACGATTTTGAATTTCTAACATTCTTTATTTTATTGAAAACGACAAATGAAAATAGAACATTTAATTGCTAGCACCTATTGCTTATTTTTTTCATTTTTTTAGGATAGTATCCATGTTTAAATATCTGTTGAGCCGAAAGATTAAATGAAAATGCTATAATCATTGTAATATGCAAATTACCTGCGAATAGTTGGATTACGAATACCATTCGCTGCTAATCGGCCACCCATGAGTTCGCAATTTTTTCTGGCTGTTTGATAGCTTAACGGTTCTTTGAATAGTTTGTACCAATATGGATAACTGTGAACACGATACCAACCATCTGCTAAAGGTTGTAATTCTCGAGCTGAAATTAAAAAAAATATGAAATCATATAAATGGCTTTATAATTGCCTTAAAATTTGTATTCATTAAAAAAAGTCAAAGCACCATATCGACGTTTAGATCGAGAGCGATTTGCAAATCCCCATTTTTTGCCATATGTAACACTTGCGACACAATCAATTAACGTTAGGTTTTTAAATAAAATATTGTAATAAAGTATAAGAAGGGTATCAATTTGAGATATCAACCTTTTTCTCCGAGGATTTGAACTTTGCGTGCCAACTCATCATATCGCGAGCAATTACATGGTGTTCCGCTTTCTCCTTTAGCTCCCTGACGTCCCGTGGCGCCATTTTGTCCTGGTGATCCGATATCACCTTTTGCACCTTCAGGGCCTTTCTTGCCTGGCCGACATGTTGTTTGACATTGAGAATCGTTTGGAGCTAAAGAATAATTATTATAGTTTACGAAATTCCCACACGTGAGGGTCGCAATCAGCAGAGTTGTATTTGTATTTCTAAATTATCACATACATTGACTTTATTGTATTCATGAAATTATCATTATCAATTAAATATTTATAACAAGTCTGTTATTATTTAAAAACAATCAAATATTTTACCATTTAGTGCCGTTTCTCGAGCTTTTTCCATGATTAGAGATGCCATGTCCCAGGTGTCTAAAACTGAAAATATATACTCTCTCAAAACTCTCTCTGAAAATCTTATACTAGAAATCTTATTTTAAAAATTGGGATAATGAAATCAGCATTAAATATAAAACCAATTTTTAGACTCATGAAGGGCGTAGCCAGGGTGTGGTTTTGGGGGCCTTCCCTCCCCCCATTTTTGAAATGTAAAAAAATTAAAAAGGATCTTTTTGTATCATACATATCAATTTTTCGTAGCTTGAAACGCTTTTTAAACCCTAAGACTCACGAAATCACGCGTTTTCTGACCGGACCCCCTAGCTGTTTCGATCTAACTTGGCAAATAGAGTCTTTAGACTACATCCCACCCACCACCTTGATTGGTAAAATCTGGAAATTGAATATAAAATCCTTTCTTTAATTTACTTATCGGGATTACAACAAAGACCATCGATTTCTCAATAAAACCTAAATCTATGCTGATACTATATAATTTTATCTGCAATTTGATAAACATAGAAAGGTAAAACAAACTAGAAGAAATAGTAAGAGAGCCTACAAACAGATATATTTTCTTAAACTCACACGACGTTGGCGAGCACTTCTTTACTTTCTCTCTCTCAATTTCTTCCAGTTTCTGTTCAAGCGCTTTGATTCTGATACCGTGTTGATCGATTTTTGTTGAAGTTACATTTTCAAGTTCACTAGATAGGCTTACGTTGTATTCAGAATTTCCCGAACCAGGTTCGATCTCTGGACTCGTTATGACAATGCTATTATTGCTTCGATGTTCTTGAGCGCAACATTCAACTACGCATAGGAACGTAAGAATGAGGGATGCTAATAAACTCATTTTGTAGTGAGAACCAGCACAAGCGTATCCACTTACGATAATTGGGTGTAATTCAGATGCCACGCATTTTATATGGTGCTTCATTTTTTAGCAACGAGTACTTTTTTTCAATCATTATTCCGTCAACTTTCAGGCGGCGCGTAAACCTAGTGGTAAAAGCGTTAATAAATCACTCATTATCTTGCTGGGATTTTAAGTGGGCCTAGTGAAACCATTGGGGGTGACATTGAAAAAGTAGGCCAAACATTACATACATACGTACAACGTAAACATGATGTAGCAATTCGCTTACAAAATAGGTCGATTGATTGCTGCTGAAATAGGTTGAATAATACATATTTACATTTCCCATATCACTACCGAAGTTAACATCATCTGCTGAGTTTAACAACTCATTTTATGACTTTAATTTGGGGTAAAGCATCGTTGACTGCAGAATGCAGTGTTTTACATTTTGTGCTTCAGCCTGAGCAAACATAAACTTTAATAAACACTGCATCGACATAACCTGTCGTTCGAGTCTGCCATATTCCCTCGATTTTACTTAAAACCGCGTTTGATTTCGAATGAGTATTCGTTTGGGCAAAGTTTAACTGCGATTATTACAAGTAGCATGGAAGGTACCTCGATCTGATTTTGTTCGCCCTAGGATTGCCTGGATATAATCCATGCCCGATTGAAGTTCAATAGACTGTGGTTCCGTATTCATGGGAATGGGGAATAAATGGCCTTGGAATTTGCTATCTTGCCTTAGTGCAAATAACATTGCAATATTAAACATATGAAGCAAATTCCAACATTTTAATTTAAAATCAATTAGTTATGTCGAATAAAATATAACAGTTTTATATTATTTATAGACTTAATATATTATTTATACCTTAATAGTCGGTACTAGAGAAACAAGTTACAAGTAAGTAAAATTCGAAAAAGCCATTTTTGAAATAGAAAAAAGGTACTTGTGCAGTTCAATCAATCATTTCAGAAAATGTATTCCACAACCGCGCAAATATAACTTTAAGTGCTGTATTCAACAGTATATATCAAATTTATTTTTGATCTCTAGTATGTGAGTTATTACAACTACCAATTTGTGAAATCTCGACTTTTAAAGAAAGACTCTTGTTGAGTATCCTGCTCTAATGCAATTTTTTCAGGCGCTCGCGAAGTATGTAAACCAAGATGGCGGACACCGGAACGTAGTATGTGTACCAGGTTAGGGTTAGGACATAATTTCAGGTACAAATACTACGGAAGTCACTTGACTAGTCCCCGAACTCGTAATAGAACTAAAATAAGAAAAATTGGAATAAGATTATGACCTAACCTGGTACACATACTACGTACCCTTTTTAAGTAGTTTATATTGTTTGCATAAATAAGTAATATAGTAATATTAAAGAACTAAAGAATATTAGGCGCTCCCGAAGTATGTGCACCAAGATAGCTCACAACCTGAACCCTAACCAGTTACAGATACTATATTCAGGTTGTGCGCCTTCTTGGTGCACATACTTCTGGGGGTCCGAATATTACTAATACTGCAACAAATACAAAGTAAAAATCCTCCCCAGGAACGACAGAATTTCTCTCTGTGGAGGAAATCATCCCTGGTTGGAAAGCGCTACCTTCACTAAACTGTCTATTTCAAACATGGGCAAACTACGGCCCGCGGGCAAAATCCGGCACATTAGGTAATTCAGTCTGGCCCGCTTGATGCTGTCACAATCGACCTAAAACCAAATTTTGTTGTTTCAGCAAAAAATAGCTCAAGGAATTTGTTGGGATTGCGATCAAATTGGGTTTTGGCTCATCGTTTTCCACTTTTGCTGACCTCTGGGCTATATTCTATTGGAAACCTGATATTGATCACTCTTATTGGTGGCTCAAACATAACATTATGCATAATATCACGCTTCGAAATGATCTAACACTTTTGAAAAAAATAAATAAAAGAAGATCTCTGATAATAATATTATGTTTTAAACACATTAAACTTTTTGGAGCCATTTATAACAAATAAAACAAAAACAGGACTAATGTTATTACATTACAATTCAGCCTTATTCAGAAATATCATTCATGTAATGTATTTGTCTCTTATCCTAGTTGCACTTTATTATTGAGCATTTCAATTTATACTGAAGAGAATGAAATCAATAACATACCAGAATCCAAACTACAGCCATAGTGATCGACTATTTCAGTCCAGGATTTCCAAAATGAATGGATTTAGATTTTAGATGTAATCCATCTTCGATCGATACCCAATGAACAACCAGTTGGAGTTGTCGATTTCCGAAACATATGTCAGATTGTAACATAAGATCGTGCGGGGCGAGAATTTTAGATCTGATTTCCGATTCTGTGGAAACATTTAAAGACCTCGTTATTATTATTCACCAACAAACAAATCATAAATTATAATGATTAAGTTTAATAACATTTTATGCTCAAGACACATACTGCAAAGTGGCGAATGCGCGTCATATTTCCATCAAACCTAAGGTAACAATCTGCGAAATGAATAAACACACGGGTATGGCATAGTAAAATATTCTTATATAAGGTTGACGAGGTGCAGCAGGTATCAATTTCAATATAATAATGGAAAGAATCGACATAGAGGTGAGTGTACTAACGTAATCAGGTCAATTGATTGTGAAACCTGTGTCGAGAGTATTTTGAACTAATAACAGTATTTGTAGAAGCTGAGAATCAGATATTCCTTTCATCGTGCATGAAACCTTGTACGGACAGAATTAAGCATATTCATTCTTTGAAAAACAGTACCTCGTTACCCCATGGTTTAGTGTGAATAATGAAGTGGAATCTGAGGTGAAAGGTCGATACGTTACACCAGTGGTTCGCAACCTTTCACTGACGGCGTACCACTTTACTTTTTTTTCTGGCCGCGTACTACTGGAAAAGCCTCTTTTATATATTGAATTTATAATGTAACAGTATTTTATAATGTGGCACTACGTCCTTAGTGACCTAATACGCAAGACGGACGAAAACATGCTAATCTTGATTCGTTCGAGGACAATAGCAGGCGAGAGTGATCTCTAAAGTCTGAACTGGCCCGTAAAACGTTTCTCCGACCCTTGACCCCAGAAAAATCCTTACTATACGTTACTATTGCAAAAAAATTTATACTTATTTTGAGAGTGTTTTGATGTGTTGGCGCTTCTAAGCTGGTTTACGTGTTTGAAAACCCTCATTTTTATTAAAATTAATCAACCACTTGCCGCTTACAGGTACTGATAGCTTAGTTTAGATTAGTCTATCGCAGCATTTGCGAGACTCATTTTTGATTACAGCAACTAAATTAATGCTCCTTTGAAAATATAATGACAATTAAGATATTTGAAACGGAAGTGAAAATTAACAAATAACAGGAAAAACTACAAAAAAGAGGCAATGTTCACTGATTGTTGCTGGTTACGGAAATAAACAAGGAAATTGATGCACGGGTAACATTCATAAAGGCCGTTCAGCGAATACATACAGTATGGAAGATAAAGCGTTGTCGGCATATTTTGGCCAACTCAAAAAGTTAATTGTTGCAATATTTCAAAGCTGCTCACGTACCACTTGATCATCATCCGCGTACCGCTAGTGGTACGCGTACCACAAGTTGAGAACCACTGGGTTACACGAATGATATTCATAATACGGACTGTAAAACACAAGAAAACCTCGTGCGGTTACAAGGTGACGCCACGAAGTGAAAGCGTGCGTCGTAGTCGTCTTTGTGTCATATGGTGTTGATTTATACGACGGCAAATAGCGGCGTTCAAGTCTTATTTTGTTTTTTAAATAAATGAATCTCAGTTCATTAAACGTTTAGTACAAGGGTCAATGCAATATTTTACCATATCTTACTATGCTTCGGACCTCAACATGGAATTTATCAAAAAATAGTTAGTTTATTACAAGAATGCTACCTGCTGCTGGCAGCGACTTTGGAATAATGATTAACTTAGTCGTATAGGAAAGGAACTGATAATAATATTGAGTTCTCTACTTTGTTCAATAACTCAAAGGGTGCATAGCTCTCTAACTTTCATTTTTAACCATTAATATGTAATATCAAATATAAAATAGGTAATGATTCCGTTTATTATCATTCATTGAAAAATTATACTAGTCGATAAAAACTTAAACTCAACAATTAAATTAAATTCAATATGGTCGATACTCATAATACATGATTTTATAATGAAAATGGTTGTTGTTAAAGATCGAGTTTACAGTGAATCCACAAAAAAGTCGACAGCAAAAATTTGGAAATGAAAATGCAATTTACTCAATTTTGGAACACTGACAAGTCGTAGCCATATTTTAACAGAGTGACAATAAATATTGCTTCTTCTTTTGTTGAGATTATTCCCATTAATCGAAAGCAACAAGGGAAATTTTCAATTACTTCTCACAAAGGTAGAAATTTTTGAAAATACACAGCACATCTGCTATCTGATATTCCAGATAATTGTGCATACAAGCACATCTTTGATCTGGACCATCGGGTTCGTCTTTGCCCCATGGTGTATTAGAAGAAGTTGATGAAACTCCATCCGACCATTTCCAGTTGTCATGTTTCTCAAGATCGTCAAGTCCTATCCAGATCGGAGTTCCTGTTCTTTTGATGAACGTGTCGAGAAGATCGCTGAAAATAATATTATATTATGTTTAATTTGAACCAACAATATGAAATAATTTCACAATTCTAAAAAAATACAAAAGTTCAACGTAATTCTTTTTATTCAATTGGATTTCCAACTCTTACTTGAAAGATTAAACTATTCATAGTTTTGTTTTAACCATTAATTTGACATGAAGGAAAGTTAAAATCAAGGTATATATATATATGATATGTTACTCCCATCGACGATACGATGAGAACAAACCATCTTTCCGACGGCATAGTTATATGTGGTCGTCAGAAAGTTTTTGCAACAGTTTTGCTGTTCAAATATTTATCGATCCTAATGTCTAAATGACAATACTATTATAATTGTAATATACAATGTTTAATTACCTGCGAATAGTTGGGTTCCGAATACCATTTGCTGCTAATCGACCACCCATGAGTTCACAGTATTTTCTGGCTGTTTGATAGTCCGACGATACATTGACCAATTTGTACCAATATGGGTAACTGTGAACACGATACCAACCATCTTCTACGGGTTGTAATTCACGAGCTAAAATTAAAATAAAAACAAATATAGAATTAAAAAAAAAAGCTTCATAATTGCTTAAAACAGAATTTACCCAGGAAAAGCCAAAGCTCCATATCGACGTTTAGATCCGGAAAGTGATTTGCAAGTTCTCATTTTTGGTCAAATATGCAACACTTGCGGTTTGCGACACAATCAATTAACGTGAAGTCCTTAAATAAAACATTGTGATGATTTATAATAAGGCTATGAATTTAAGATGGTAACCTTTTTCTTCTTCGAGGATTTGAAATTTGCGTGCTAACTCATCATAACGTGAGCAATTACATGGTGTTCCACTTTCTCCTTTGGCTCCCTGACTTCCCGTGGCACCATTTTGTCCTTTCGGTCCAATATCACCTTTTGCACCTTCCGGGCCTTTCTTGCCTGGTCGACATGTTGTTTGACATTGAGAATCATTTGGAACTAAAGAACAAATATTTTAGTTTACAAAAACCTTACACGTGAGGGTTGCATTCATCAGAGTTGTATTTGTATTTCAAATGTATCACATACATTGACTTTCTTGTATTCATGAAATTATCATCTTCAATTTTATATTTATTATAATTCTGTAATTATTTAAAAACAATCCAATATTTTACCATTTATTGCAGTTTCTCGAGCTTTTTCCATGATTAAAGATGCCATGTCCCAGGTGTCTAAAACTGAAAATATATACTTTCTTAAAATCTGAAAATCATATAAAAAACTGTAATAACGAAATACCGCATTAAATATAAAGCCAGTATTTTAGATTCAGGTTTCCCGATTAAGCAATTGTGCAATGTGGAAATTGAATAATTATTTTTTTTTAAATTACTGATTGAAATTAGAACCATCGACTTACCAATAAGACCCAATTCTATGCTAATATTATATAATTTCGTCTGTGAATTTGATAAAGGTAGAAAAATAAAACAAAATAATAGAAATAGTAAGAGAGTCTACAAACAGATATATTTTCCTAAACTCACATGACGTCGGCGAGCACTTACTTTCTCTCTCTCAATTTCTTCCAGTTTCTGTTCCAAAGCTTTGATTCTGATATCGTGTTGATCGATTTTCGTTGAAGTTACATTTTCAATTTCACTAGATAGGCTTACGTTGTTATCAGAATTTCCCGAGCCAGGTTCGATCTCTGGACTCCTTGTGACAAAGCTGATATTGCTTCGATGTTCTTGAGCGCAACATTCAACAACACATAGGAACGTAAGAATGAAGGATGCTAACAAACCCATTTTGTAGTGAGAACCTGCACAAGAGTATCGATTTACGATAATGAAGATATAACTAAGGTACCTACTCTTTTTACATAGTTCTCCATTTTTTTTTGGCAACGAGTGCCTTTTTTGTCAATTGCCGGGCGGCGCAATAACCTCGCGGTTAAAATCTTAAGATGCAAATGGCATCGCAAATTACACAAATCCCATGCGCCCTGCCTCACTCAGGCATAAATTGGGTAGGCAGTTTTGAAACCAAAAGGTTCAGGTCATTCCAACTAAATAGTAGCTACTCAAATATCCTTAGATGTCAGTGGCTGCTTATACAGGGCTTTGTTTTGAGTGACAGGCTCGAGTAAGCGTCTTACTTGAAAAAAATCACATTTCTTGTTTCTTTGTCTTCCCCATAATGATCGAGAATCGTGATAGTACATATTTGTTTCAACGTTATTACACTCACGACATATATGTAATGATATGAGTTCAGTAACCATTACGAAAACAACCTATTTTTAATTGGTTGCATTTATATTTTCAAGCGTGTTATTTAAATGTATATATAAACAATCAATGTGATCAAGAAGTAACCATGATTGAGAGAGTTTTTAAAAAAACATTTGGGTCAACTTTTTGTGGAATTCTGCTTAGAATAAGTAGATACTTAATTGACATTCATGTTTGATACTAGGAATAATTGAGGTAAATGACAAATAAATTTTTTTGAACCCCGCCAACCTTACGTTTGAATTGAATCATATAATTCAATCGGGGTTAAGAATCGGTGACATCCTCAACGTTGCATTTGTCACATATTCTCATAGAAGGTTGAGAAGGTGGCACAAAGTATCAAATCTCAATATCATAATGGATAAAATAATCGACATGAATATCAGTGTTTTAAACCACATAGTCAATTATAGGTCAATCGATTGTATTTGATGGTGAAACATGTTTCGAGAGTATTATGTACTTTTAACATTAATTGTTAAATCTCATGCATAATCGCATAAGACAATCCTTTATCTCATCATCCTGTTTTGCGTGAAAATGAATATAATGAAACAGTAAATCTCATCATCCTGTTTTGCGTGAAAATGAATATAATGAAACAGTAAATAATAAAGTGGATCTGGAAGTCGGAAGGTTAAAATAAGGTACTGATTGTAAAAGATTGCATATGCCAAAGCGTTTAGAATTCATGTTAACAGTACAAAATAATCTTGGCACAGGTTTCACCATCAAATACAATACTGACCTGTGGTTGACTACGTTGTTTAGAAAACACTGATCTTCGCGTAGATTCTTTTCATTATAATATTGGAGCTTGATACTTTGTTGCCACCTCGTCAACCTTATATGAGAATATGTGACAAATGCAACGTTGATGATGTCACCGATTCTTAACCCCGATTGAAATATATGATTTTTTTCAAACGTAAGGATGGCGGGGTCCAAAAATAATTGTTTGTCATTTACTTCAATTATTTCTCGTATCAAACAGGAATGTCAAGTAAGTATCTATTTATTCTACGCGGAATTCCACAAAAAGTGGAATCAAATTTTATTGAAATTTCTTTCTCAATTATAGTTTGGGTTATTTATTGGTTACGCATTGATTGTTTTTATATGCATTTGACACCCATGAAAATATAAATGAAACCAATTAAAAAAATATTGTTTGTGTAATGGGCTCTGGGATCAACGTCAAAACAGAAAAATACTCTCATGATTCTCGATCATACCGGGGAAAATAAAGAAACATGAAATGTGATTTTCTTTGAGTACGACGCTTATCCGCGCCTACCACTCAAGGGTCTGTATAAGCAGCAACTGATATTTAACGATATGAAAGAAGTTACTATTTATTTGGATGACTTGAACTATATGGGTACGGCACTGCCTACCCAATTCATTACACCCTGAGTGAGGTAGGGCGAATGGGATTTAAACCCGACATGTGTAATCTGCGATACAAACACGGTTAAGTCTGAACCAGTGTTTCCCAACCCGAGTCCACGGTCTCAAATGAGTCCGCAGAGCGTTTGAATGAGTCCGCAACGAGCCAGAAATTTACTGCGGGACGCAAATGTTTTTTCGAAACTTTACGATTTACGTTAGAATTGACATAAAACATAAAAATTTTGCTTGCCCAATGCCAATGCCTGCCTGATTGGTATTGGTCCATACTTGATCGAAGTATGGTAGGCTGTGTTCCGTATTCATTGATTGACAAAATAAATGACTTGTGAATTTGCTAACTTGTTGACATGTTGTGTTAATAACATTGTAGTAGTTAGTACATAAGTGTACTAGTACATATGAGAAGCAAAATATCGTCAGGCTAATAACCGTAATTGCGTGAGTCATTTTTGGCGATTTTGAGTATTTTATGAAATAGGTATTTATGTAAAGCTGCACACCTGTCTGTTACTCAAGATTTAATTTAAAATTCCCGAAACCCATGAAAATGGAGATTTTGTATGACATGCATATTTGTGCAATTGTTTCGTCATAATGGATTATCATCATTGCTCTAGGACTATTGTGACGTCACAAAGGCAAAATAACCTCGGCGAAGTATTTTCAATAATTTGCATCTCAGATTCTAGTTTAGCGCTCATAAATTTGAATTTAAATTAAACAGTACAGGAAGGCGTGCACTTGTGATATTCACTGTCCGAGTCCAATTTACTTTGGTTGGCTTTTATATTGGGTGTATTGCTGTTTTGTTCTTTATATTTAATCTTGGTCTTATTTCGGTGGGTGTGCAGAGCGTGTTATATTGATGAAATATATATTTTAAAACATAAAAAATTATGTAATTGATACAGATTAGCTATTTTGGGGATTAGACATCGTAGATACTGAGAATTACTTTCGTTTTTGGAATGTTTGGTTTTCAGGACTGGTGCATATCGTCAAGTTGAAAAATTGCGTATGTCCCCGAGTCATAGACACATTTTTGCCTAGGTCACAGTGCGCCATTATGAATTCACATGACTGCGTTATACAAATTAACTTGAATCCGGCTACGATCAAAAAATTGAACCATGTCAATTTTTGGACTCTCAATGGCATAACAATATCATTAGGAAGTTTTTTACGTTTTTCTCAAAACTGCTAAGAATGACTTACGCAATTCGGTTATTAGCGTGACGATATTTTATTAGCGATCAATTTTGTATATTAATTAAAATACGACTGTTCTATATTATGATATATCCCTTAAAAAAAAGTGAAAATTAAATTTGCAAAATATGTTTCCATATTTTGAGAAAATATATATATTTTATAATCACAGGGATACAACTTTGAATACTTTATATAACAATATGCAACAGTTATTTGTAAACATCAAATTTATTTTTGATCTTGAGTGGCATTTTTCACATCTCCTGTTTTGTGCTAATTCGGGAAACCTCGGTTTTAAAGAAATCACGCTTGTTGAGTAGCTTGCTCTGGTGTACAGCAGGGCAGCGGCAGCAGCCAACTTGCTTTCGACCGCGAGCAAAATATTTCAAAATAGCTCGCGATCGACTGATCGGTAATGTGGTTACGCACAGAAACGAATAAGTACAAAATATGCAGTAACTGCACACAAGCATACAAAATTTGTATTTTTAATGGCATTGCTACAACAAAAATGCATTTTTTTGTTTTATTCAATTTTGAATTTGATTAAAATAATTTGATTATGTAATTTCACCCCGAGTAAATTTTTATCATTTATGCATGAAGTCGGTTTGAGGCGTTTTTTTTGGTTATGTTATTGAATTCACTCAGATGTGTTAGTCACCCCTGGTGTCAAGTATACCTTTATTAGATCGGGTATGTAATACAGATTTTGAGATCAGTTATTTCCATACATCACCATAGGCCAACCTTATAGGCCTTTAAGGTACATTAGGTACTCCCGTAGTGTGTGTACCAGGATCAAAAATGTCCTCACGTGACTTACATTCCTCTCATTTTTCCAATTTATTTCATTTTACTTATCATTGCTGATAAATATAAATAGTATTCAAGTTTAAAATAAACAAGTTTATAATGAAAATCATCTTTAAATAATATAGAATATATATAATTCTTAGATTCACTGTTGCTCGGATAAAGTGATATGGCTTTTAATTAATATTCGTTCTTTACAGGCATTTTTAGGTTTAAACTAGATAAAGATAACCTTTTAAAGCATTCGAAGAAATTCATTTGATCAACAGTGTATTTAAATATTCAACGTTTCAAATAGGAATATTTGGAACAAGAATAATTTAATGAATGAACATACGAATAAATTCTTGAATTCTTGAACAAATTTTATGTATTAACCATAAAACTTACTAAAAAACTTAACCGACAAGACGAATAGATGAAGGTGCAAAATTCAAAAGCGCCATTCTCAGAAAACTCAAGATCACCATAGACACAAATTTTCAAATATTACATTCATCAATTATGAGTAAAACATGAGGAAATTTTTGAATTACTTCTCACAAAGGTAGAATGTTTGATAACTACAATGGATATCTATCAACTTATATTGAAGGGGCTTGTACATGCAAGCACATCTTTCAGCTGGACCATTTGGTTCTCCTTCACTCCATGGTGTATTAGAAGAAGTTGATGAGACTCCGTCCGACCATTTCCAGTAGTTTTGTTTCTCAAAATCGTCAAGTCCTATCCAGATTGAAGTTTCTGTTCTTCTGATGAACGTGTCAAGAAGGTCGCTAAAAATATTACTATTTTAAGCACATTAAAGATAAATTGGGACCAAAAATGTTATATTTTGAAATTTACAAATAATAAAGTTTAGGGTATTAATTTTTAGGATTTTGAATTTTTAACATTCTTCACTTTATTGAAGGCGACAAATGAAAATAAAACATTTAATTGCTTTAATTGCTAGTACCCATTGCTTATTTTTTATTTATTTTTTTGATTAGTATTGATGTTTAAATATTCGTTGAACCAAATGAATAAAAGGCAATACTACCATCATTGTAATATACAATGTTTAATTACCTGCGAATAGTTGGGTTGCGAATACCGTTTGCTGCTAATCGGCCTCCCATGCGTTCGCAGTTTTTCCTGGCAGTTTGATAGTCTGACGGTACTTTGACCAATTTGTACCAATATGGGTAACTGTGAACACGATGCCAACCATCTGCTAAGGGTTGTAATTCTCGAGCTAAAATTAAAATAAGAACAAATATAAAACCATATAAAAAAAGCTTTATAATTGTTAAAATATGAATTTATCTACAAAGCCAAAACTCCATATTGACGTTTAGATCCAGAGAGCGATTTGCAAATTCTCATTTTAAGCCATATATGCAACACTTGCGACACAATTAATTGAAATTAAGTTTTATAATAAACTAATGCAATAATTTATAATAAGGGTATGAATTTGCAATAGTAACCTTTCTGTTCGAGGATTTGAACTTTGTGTGCCAACTCATCATATCGTGAGCAATTACATGGTGTTCCACCTTCTCCTTTAGCTCCCTGACGTCCCGTGGCGCCATTTTGTCCTGGTGATCCGATATCACCTTTTGAACCTTCTGGGCCTTTCTTGCCTGGTCGACATGTTGTTTGACATTGAGAATCATTTGGAACTGAAGAATAATAGTTTACAAAATTCTTACACGTTAACGTTGCATTTAGCAGAGTTTTATTTGTATTTCTAATTTATCACTTACATCGACTTTTTTGTATTCATGAAATTATCATTTCCAATTATTTATTTATTACAAGTCTGTAAATATCTAAAAATATTCCAATATTTTACCATTTAATGCTGTTTCGCGAGCTTTTTCCATGATTAAAGATGCCATGTCCCAGGTGTCTAAAACTGAAAATATATACTTTTATAAAACTCAATATTCTGAAAATCTGTCTTATATTAAAAATTGTAATAACAAAATTAGCATTTCTGGCTACGCCCCTGGAATCAGGGTTCTCGATTAGGCATTGGTGAAATCTTGCAATTAAATCAGAAATCCTTTTTTGAATTTTTCGATTGAGTTTAGAACACAATCGACTTGTCAGTAAGACTTAAATCTATGCTGATATTATATAATTTTTGTCTGCAATTTGATAAAAATAGAAAAGTAAAACAAAATAATAGAAATAGTAGGAGAATCTACGAATAGATGTATTTTCCTAAACTCACATGACGTTGGCGAGCACTTTTTATTTTTTTCTCTCTCAAGTTCTTCCAGTTTCTGTTCCAAAGCTTTGATTCTGATGTCGTATTGATCGATTTTTGCTGAAGTTACATTTTCAATTGCACTGGATATGCTTACGTTGTTATCAGAATTTCCCGAGCCAGGTTCAATCTCTGAACTCATTGTGACAAAGCTAATGTTGCTTCGATGTTCTTGAGCGCAACATTCAATTACGAACAGGAACGTAAGAATTAGGGGTGTAAGATAACTCATTTTGAAGCTAGAACCAGTACAAGAGTATCGATTTTCGATAATGAAAGTATAACTAAAGTACATACGCTTTTTATATAGTGCTACATTTGTTTGTCATCAAGCGCCTTTTCTTTCGTTCGTCGGGCGGCAGGATGTGTCTAATGGTTAAATCGATGTACTGAACTGCGTCCGGTTCAAATCTCATGTGCCCTACTCCACTCAGGGGGTAAGGAATTGGGTAGGCAGTGCTGAACCCAAAATGTTGAGGTAATTCGAAATGAATAGTATCTATTTCATATCGTTAGATATTAGAGATTGCTTATAAAGAACCTCCTTTTGAGCAAAGGGCGCAAGTCATAGATATATGTAAAAAAGGGAACATTTTTTTTTCTTCATTTGAAACAGAGAATGATTCAAGAATCATGAGAGTGTTCAATACCATGCCATTTATACATTCGATTTTATTTCCTCTAACTCGACAGGGTAATTAGGGTCAAAAGTCGGTGACATACCTAAAACAAAACGTTGGTTGTGCTATATATCTACGTATACGGCTGATGAGGTGACACAAAATAAAAAATCTCAATATTATACTAAAATGAATCGACATAGAGATCAGTGTACTAAACCATATGGCCAACCACAGGTCAGTTGAGTGTATTTGATGGTGAAACATATATCGAGAGTAATTTGTACTTTTAACATTAATTGTAAAGGGTTATGCACAATCGCTTTAATAGACAATCGTTTATCTCATCATCCTATAGTTTTGTATGAACATGTATATAATGAAACAGTGAATAATAAAGTGGATCTGGAGGTGGGGGGTTAAAAAGCTACTGATTATCGAAGATTGAATATGCCAAAGCTTTTACAATTAATGTTAATAGTACAAAATCCTTTCGAGGCAGGTATCACCATCAAATACAATCGACTGACGTGTGGTTATCTATGTGGTTTTGGAGAGTCACTTCCATTCTTTTCATTATGATATTGGGCGCTCCGGAAGTATTCGTACCACGATGACGCACAACCTGAGAAACCCTAACCTGGTACAATACTTTATTCAGGTTGTGCGCCATCTTGGTACGAATACTTCGGGAGTACCTGATATTTAGGCTTGACACTTTGTGTCAACTCATCAACCTTATATGCGAATATGTGACAAATGCAACGTTGAGGATGTCACCGATTCCTAACGCCGATTTAATTATATGATTCAATTCAAACGTAAGGATAGCGGGGTCAATAACTATTTGTCATTTACTTCAATTATAATCCTCGTATCAAACAGGAATGTCAATTAAGTATCTACTTATTCTAAGCAGAATTCCACAAAAAGTTGACCCAAATGTTTTTTAAAAACTCTCTCAATTATGGTTACATCTTGATTACGCATTGATTGTTTATATATATACATTTGAATAACACGCTTGAAAATATTAATGAAAACAATTAAAAATATATTGTTTACGTTATGGGCTCTGGGCTCATACGATTACATATGTCATGGGTGGGTGTGTCATGGGGTAATACCGTTGAAATAAATAAAAAAGAACTCTAACGATTCCCGATCATTTTGTGGAAATAAGAAACAAGAAAGCTGAATTTATTTTAATGCGACGCTTAATGTTGTTTGAAACAGGACACCGACTCTTGACCCGAATTACCCTATCAAATTAGAGAAAATCAAATCAAATGTATAGGTGGCGCGGTATAAGAACTATTCTTTTACAGTCGAACACGAATACAAAATAAGTATGGGCTCATTATAAGGGGGGAAGCTTGAATGGATATGTGGCAGAGAGTAAAATTTTATAAATGTAAAGACAGGATTGAATGATGGCTGCTGGAAATGAAGCAAAAGAATATGTATGATTTCACAATTAACTAACGTTGCAAAATTATTACAACATTGGACACTCTCACTAATCTGGGCCATTCTCTGTTAAAATAAAGAAACAAGAAATGTGATTTTCTTTAAGTACGACGCTTACTCGCGCCTTTCACTACAAACAAAGCCATGTACAAACAAACAACCACTGACTTCTAATGATATTTGAGTAGCTACTATTTATTTAGAATGACCTGACCCCTTTGGTTTCAGCAGTGCTTACTCAATTTATTACCCCCTGAGTGGGGCAGGGCGCATGGGATTTGTGTAATCTGCGACGCCATTTGTATCTTAAGACTTTAACCGCGAGGTTATTGCACTGCCCGGCAATTGACAAAAAAAGCTATGGTTGCCAAAAAAATTGAAGCACTATATATAAATCGTTGGTACCAAAGTCATACTTTCATTATTGTAAATCGATACTCTTGTGCTGGTTCTCACTACAAAATGAGTTTGTTAGCATTCTTCATTCTTACGTTTCTATGCGTAATTGAATGTTGCGCTCAAGAACATCGAAGCAATATTAGCTTTGTCACAATGAGTCCAGAGATCAAACCTGGCTCGGGAAAATTCTAATAACAACGTAAGCCTATCTAGTAAAATTGAAAATGTAACTTCAACAAAAATCGATCAATACGACATCAGAATCCAAATGCTGGAACAGAAACTGAGAGAAATTGAGAGAGAGATAGTAAAGAGCTGCTCGCCAACGTCATGTGAGTTTGAGAAAATAGATCCGTTCGTATATTATTTTACTATTTCTATTACTTTGTTTTACTTTTCTATTTTTATCAAATTTATAGACGAAATTATATAATATCAGCATAGATTAAAGTCTTGTTGATAAGTCGATGGTTCTAATTTCAATCAGTAATTTAGTGAATGAGTAAATAAAAAAAGATTTTTGATTAAATTTCGAGATTGTTCCAATGCTTAATCGGGAAACATGAGTCTAAAATATTGGTTTTATATTTAATGTTAATTACGTTTTTACATTTTTTATTGTCAGATTTCATATTATTGAGTTTTAAGAGAGTATATATTTTCAGTTTTAGACACCTGGGACATGGCATCTTTAATCATGGAAAAAGCTCGCGAAACAGCAATAAATGGTAAAATATTTGATTATTTTCAAATAATTACAGATTTGAAATAAATAATTAATTGGAAATGATAATTTCATGAATACAAGAAGATCAATGCAAGTGATAAATTAGAAATACATTTACAACTCTGCTAAATGCAACATGAACGTGTAAGAATCTTTATAAACTATTATTTTTTAGCTCCAAATGATTCTCAATGTCAAACAACATGTCGACCAGGCAAGAAAGGCCCTGAATGTGCAGAAGGTGATATCGAATCACCAGGACAAAATGGTGCCACGGGACGTCAGGGAGCTAAAAGAGAAAGTGGAACATCGTGTAATTGTTCACGATATGATGAATTGGCACACAAAGTTCAAATACTCGAAGAAGAAAAAGGTAACTATCTCAAATTCATAACCTTTATTATACTTTATTGCATTGTTTTATTTGAAAACCTAAAGTTAATTGATTGTGTCGCATGTGTTGAATATGACCAAAAACTGAGGATTTGCAAATAGCTCTTTTGGTGTTAACGTCAGCATTGATGTTTTTATATAAATCCCTATTTTAAGCAATTATAAAGGTTTTTTATATGGTTCTATATTTGTTTTTGTTTTATTTTTAGCTCGAGAATTACAACCCGTAGCAGATGGTTGGTATCGTGTTCACAGTTACCCATATTGGTACAAATTTGTCGAAGTACCGTCAGACTATAAAACAGTCAGAAAAAACTGCGAAATCATGGGAGGCCGATTAGCAGCAAATGGTATACGCAACCCAATTATTCGCAGGTAGTTTAACATTGTATATTACAATGATAATAGTATTGTCATTTAGTCATTTGGTTCAACGAATATTTAAACATCAATGCTATCCCCCCAAAAATAAAGAAAATAAGCAATCAATGCTAGCAATTAAGCAAGTGAAGCAAATAAATGTTTTTCTTTCATTTTTCGCATTTAAGGAAATAAGAGGTACTCCCAAAGTATGTATACCAGTTTAGGGTTAGGCCATCATTTTATTCCAATTTTCCTTGTTTTAGTTCTATTACGAGTTCGGGGACTAGCCAAGTGACTCCCGTAGTATTTGTACCTGAAATTATGACCTAACCCTAACCTGGTACACGTACTACGTTCCGGAGTCCGCCATCTTGGTTCACATACTTCGGGAGCACCAAACAAAGAATCTTGGAAATCCAAAGCCTTAAACAATAATGATTCGAACTTCTTTATTTGTAATTATTTAACATTGTTAGTCTAAATCATAGGTTCTCAAAGTGCTCCGTACGGAGCCCCAGGGCTCCGCGAGAGAAACCCAGGGGCTCCGCGAGCTATTCGATTACTTTTCAAAATACTGACCAATTTTGTAACTGTTCAAAGAAGCAATAACAGCTTGATGACATTATTTAAGGCTGATTTAAAGAATACTATTTTAAAATAACATAAAATATATATGTGATAAACTGCCAACTATAAATAAATTGGAGTCGTATTTTTGCGATCTTGGGATTTGTCAAACTTGATTTGTTCTTTCGCACTTGAAATTATTTTTAAGCAAGATATCGCCGATTTAAAAATCACAATGTATGGGCAAAATACGAACAATCGAAATTTATTTTATTGCATTCGGCTCCGTCGGTAGTTTCAGACTGAAAAAAGGTACATCGCGGATCGCGCGCACAATTGATTACGTGCGGCTCCGTCGGTAGTTTCAAAATGGGAAAAAAAGGTACATCGCGCGCATAATTGACTGTGTTTACTACGATGAAAACCTAACATAACACCAAATTTTGTGATTTACAATCTCTATTAAGGCGTTTTCAATCTGAAGAGAGTCTGCTGAAACCAAACGTGTGATCTTCCATTTTAAGATTCAGTTTTAATATTTTAGAATGCCGTTTTTCAATCAAGAAATTTGAGTTGCGGATTTACCTCTTTATTAATTATTATTTTTAGCATTTTGTCGCCGATGACTATAATGTGGTAACATGT